GCTGGGCTGGCTCCGGGTTTGGGAGAGGAGCGGGACGGTGCTGGATGCGGCCCTGCTAGTCGGGGTGCAGCTGCTTGTTGGGTTAGCGAGCGCGAAAGGATGAGGCGGGTGCTAAAGCCGGGGAAGTGACGAGTGCCTGCCGCTGAATCTGCTCCTCATCCTCAGAAACAGATGAGAAGAAGCTAAGTTCGCTTAAAAACAGGGTTTGATGGAGGAAGAGGGAATTGGAGCTGTGGGTGCAAGGCTTTTCTTGCCCAAGAGCCGTTTGGTGCCTGTAGGGCCGTTGGGTGATGGAGCATCCCGCTGTAGGTTGACCTGTTGAAGGGGGTTTTGCTTGCCATGCCCCAGTAGAAAAGGATGGCAATCTCCACGCCGCGGCTTCTCTCCTCGGCCTTTTTTGTAATCCCACAGAGGTCTGTTTCCATTAATAAAAATTGCTGCTCGGTTACTTATTTTGTGATCTCTGTTAACAAAGATTTGTGTGACTGGGAATTGTGAGTCAGCAGATCTTCATTTAGTGGTGCCTGGCCTTACGGCCGGCCAGTTGCTCCCTCTGCTGCAGTAGATCTGATGCAGCTTCTGTGGTTGCAGCACAGTTATCTTCGTGAATAGCTTGAACTACCCTGTGGTAAGAGTATATAGCTCGCTTTTAACCCCGAGAATGTGTTTCTTAGCAAGGATAACTTTCCGTAATCATTCAGCCTTCAGTTCTTCCCCTTTTTTCTGCCTACCAGCTGATACCTTCCGAGTAAGGAACTAAAATAGCTATCTGAATTAGTGGGTGTGCTGTTTCTTTCCTGGCTAAATCCCATGAGGCTTTTGCACTAATTGACCATAAATAACAAATTGCCTTCCACAAGGCTAAAAATGTGTTAAAACCATTTGTCAAAATTAAACTGTGTTGTGTTCCAGTCGACTTGGATCTGGTGCATTGCTTCAAAAAGTGATGATTATGCACAGTTGGGGAAAGGGTGTGTTAATCTCACTTATTGAACAGCTGTGGTGGTTTTCAACCTGACATCTGATGACCCAAAAGTGATTTGCAGAGGTAGGAGAAAACATTTATCTGTTCACACAAGTGGAGAAGCTGACTTGCAGAGATGATGTTTTGGACTCCGCTCTCCTTCTGTCTTCCTGGTGGTCTGTTACTGACATACATTAGTGCTGCAGTTAGGACTGAGCCTAGGTTTTTTAATTCCCATTTACAACTGCAATTTTGCTAGACCATAGATGTGCGCTTTTCTCCATTTTAGGTAACCACATCTGTAAATGAAACTAGTTTATTTGAAGCATCATTTGCTGCAGATTCAGCTGGCTGTCTCCACCAGGTCTCATTCACCTGTTGAAATTCTCATGAGGGAGTTTATTTGCTGCTCTGTCACTTTCTTTAACAGCTCCTCTCCCTCCCTCCCTCCCTCCTTTTTTTTTTGTGGCTCAGTAACAAAAGTTCTTCCTGGAGCTGCAGTAGTCTGGTGGATCTGCAGGAGTTAAGGAGTAACATCACTGTAAACTTCAGCTTCTTCAGAAACAACCTGTGTGGAGCGATTTCAGTATTTTCAAAGAAAAGTGAAGAACGCAGTGTGTGTGTGTGGCATGGTGTGCCTTCAAGCTATACCCAGTGTTGATGTATTTTAAACCTGTACAGCAGCAGCTGTTCAAGAAGAGAGAGTTTGTGCATATGGCACTGAGCTGGAGAGGTGGCATCTTCCTTCCGTCTTGTCCGCGCAGCTGTAGTCGCAGCAGCGTGGTCTCTCTGTGCTTTCCTGGGCTGGTATGGCCACTCGGTGTGTGCTGCCGGGGATGGAGAGGGTGCTGTGGTGCAGGGGCATAACCTGCTCCCCTCTTGTGGGGCTTCAGCCCGGGGGTGAAGATGGTCCGTGCAGCAGGCCACATGACTGTGTCTCCATCTGCCTCCAAGTGCTCTGACAGAAAAGGCCCAAAGCAGTGGTGTGCCTTAAGTGATGTGCTTGAGGAGCCTGTCTGCACGTGTGTGCATCAAGGAGCAGTGGGTGAGGAACCTGGGTGATATACTGACCCGGCTACTCCCAGGCCCACTGCAGGAGAGCAGCCAGCTCATGCAGGCTTGTCTCCACACACGTGCATGCCAAGGAGCACAGAGACACTGGCAGGTGGGGGAGCACTGGTAACCTGTGCAGAGAAAAGAGCCCAGAGCTATCTGGGGAGCCGTTGCCTGTGGGCCAAGGGTGATGCCCATCTGCACCTATCGGTGGGAGGCTGGCTCCCTTGCAGGCTGCAGGGGCACAGGATGAGCATTTGGGGATTGTGGGACATTTAGGGGAGTCTCCGTGCCATTTGGGCAGGAACAAATGTGGGGAAAATAAAAGGGTAAAGGGATAAAAAGGGCTGACCCTGCATAAACAGGCCTGCTCTGTACCCTTGTCTGGCAGTGTCCTGCAGCAAGTCAGTGCAATCTGTCCCGTGTCATCGTTAAAGTCTGTAGCTGCTTTCCTGGGGAAGGGACGCTGCTCTGCATGCACGTGTCTCTGTGGATGTGCCAGTGCCTGGAGCCAGACCACTGTTTGGAGGGCCTGCGTGTCCATGGTGCCAGCACCCAGTCTGAGTGTGTGATGGCTAGCAGAGATCAAACTGGAGTAGGCGAGGTGGCCTGGGAGCCAGGCATGTGTGCATCTCTGACGGTGAGACCACTGAGGGCGATGGCTGCTGGAGGGGCCAGGGGTCCTGGCCAGCTGCCAGAGAGTGCGCGGGATCTGTGGTCAAGTGTGAGACCCCCAGTTACTGGGGTCCACAGCAGATGTGATGGTGTCTGAAGGGGTCTGTGCAACAGTGGCTCATATGTCCAGGTGCTAGCAGCTGGGGAGACTGGAGTCTGGGGACAGCTGCTTGTGAAGGCTGAGCCAGCCACTGGTGGATCCACGTGTGTGTATGTATTTCCCAGTAATGAACCTTCACCCTGATGGGTCAGAGAGGGGAACAGGATGAGGCTGTTGGTACTGTCTGTGTGAGCGTCAGTCTGTTCTGGTCAGTGTGGCCAGCCACGTGTGTATTTGGGCATGTGTTGTGTGTGTGTCCGTGTGCGTGCCTGCTGGACATGCATGCTCAGCCGAGCTAGTAGTTGGAGCTGGGGACGTGGAGTTGTGTCATCCTCGCTTCTGTCGAGCTGCCGGGTTTGGCAGCCCGCTGCCAGTATCCGAGATGCCTCAACGTAGGAGTAACGCCAGGTATTCATAAAGCAAAATATGTGTGTTACACTGGCTGGTGGTTTTTTAATACTTCCTCTCCCTGCTCGTGTTAGTACAAAGAAGCACAGGTGTTTTGGTGGTTAGGTTGTCATGTTGTGCTACCATATTCCTTCTCACCCAGGTAACTCTTGTGATGCACATGTGTCTAACGCTCTTTCTGTATTGCTGCAGCTGGGTTGGGTTGTGACGTACCCAATACGGCTAATCTACACCTACATCTTCCTGAGGCTGTTCAGGAACCCAAATCCTGCGATTACTCTGAAGGATCCTGACGTGAAGTATGCATTGAGGCTGATAGATAAGGAGGTAAGTGCACGTGCAGTGCTGAGCATGACCTCTCCAGGGGTACTGTGAAATACTTACAGCTTCTGAAATCTTGGGTAATGTTGCAGCAGGGCGAATACTTGTATTTTAAGGAAAAGACTTCTTTAGAAGTGCTCCTTGCCTAGTATAGCCGAGTTCTGCAAACAGCTTGTTTCCAAGCAAGTTAGAGTGGAGAACGCTGCTTTGGTCATTTCTAAACTCATAGTTTCTGTCACTTGAGTCTCATGTCATGGAATATATTGGCAGAAATTTCTAAACTCTGCACTTCTAGATTGGCTGTGAGACAGAAGTCATGCTGTCAGGCAGAGCAGGCAGTGTTTTCACGGTCAGCAGCATTCAGCATAGTAGTTGTCAGAAAAATGTTGATGCTGATTCATGTTACTTGGTTTATGTATGCTAATGTGTTACAGGAAGAAAGGCATTTAAGTGGTGTAGTCCTGACAGCACCTGAGCTGTCTCAGCTTCCCTTTCTGTTAAAGACAGAAGCCATTCTGTGCCTCCTGGGCTGTTCAGCTGGGTTTTCAGAGGAAAGTCTTGACCCTGTTAAGGGTGGATCTTGCTATCAGAAGGTGGTAACTCAACTTGTGGGAAGGGGACCAAAGGTGAAAAGTTGAGGTTTCCCTTGGATAAACTCACCATCAAAAGCATGAAATAGATATCTTGGCTTTTCAGGTGTGAAGTCGCACCAGAAGATACTTCTAGTGTTGACTTTTTAACTCAGTGAGCTAGTCAGAAAGTTATCAGTAGTGTTTTGATGAAAAGGACTTTGGACTGCAACAGAGCTTTGTTTGAGATACAGAGAATGTACTGATATCTTGGCTTTCATTTGTTCTGTCTGTCAAAGAAAATGATTACTGTTATTCTGAATCCTGGTTTTGTGGGAACGGAAAGCTTCCCTGTTCTTGGGCTGGGTGGCATTACTGTATTTATTTCCTGTGTGTACTTACTGAATTGATTTGCCATGTGTACTGCAACAGCACTATTATTACGTAGTCCCCACTTTCTCAAGAGACGTGTAGCACATGGGTGCAGGTACAGTCTGCCTGACCTGCAGGAGGGGAGGGAAGCTGGAGACACCGTGCGTGCTTCGGAGAATCAAACTACTTGCAGGCTTCTGCTGTAGCAGTTTGTAACAGAAGAGAATTCACAGATCACGTGATTTTTTTTTATTTTTTTTTTTTTAATTCTCAGATTGGTATGCTTTTATTTAACCTTGGGATGGAAGAATAGCTCTTGCATAACCAGGTCAAATACTGCTGCATGTGGTACCTTGATCAATGGAGAGTATTTGACTAATGGATGTTTATAAATTTTTGCCTAAATGGGAAATCTGGGAGTAGCTGGGGGCTGTAGTTTTTAACCTGATGTATTTTGATGATATCGTTGAGAGTACAGCCTTGCAGAAGCTTTTCTTAGTGGACTGTGGCCCAAGAAGCTTGACCAGAAAGGGAAGTGGCAGGAACCGCTTAGACGGATTTCACAAGAAAAGGTGATTGCAATGGAAAACTGAGTCACAGGTACTGGGCTGCCAGACAGCAATGCACAAGTGTGCAGTTTCAGAAGGATTCCACAGTTACCTAGAAACAGTTTTTAGGTGTCTGCAATCTGAAGTTTGAAAACCACTGGTCTGGAGAATGCCTAGTTTCACATATGTAGCTTTTAACGCAGTTTAGATTTTTGTGTGTGAAAGCTGGAAATCGAGTGTACTGTTTTGTGGAGCTGTTGTGAGCAGAAGCCTTTCTTCCTCTACCCGTTGCCTGCCTTTTGCCCACCAGCTGAAACACTGACATCTGCCCAGATTGAGTGTGCCATACCTCCCGTCCCTTGAATCGAGAAATAGCGGTCACAAGGCTGCTTCCTAGTGTTTAGCACAGGAAAAAACTGTCACAGTGTAGTTAGGTGTGCTAATTTAGTTTGTGCCTTGAAAAAGCCCACAACCTCAGGCTTTTTTTTGCAATCGTAAGCATAATTCATTTGTTGCCTTTCAGTGGCTTCAGCAAAGCACCAGCCTGCAAAAACTCTTCTCCAGCTCTGCATTTGTGAGTGTGGAAGACTCCTCAGCACCTGCAACTGGAGACAGAAATGTGTGCTGGTAGCTGGAGGCCAAGGGCTTCCAGGTGCTTAGGGCAATGCCAAATGATGGCTTTGGGGAATGCAGCGGAGATGACCCGTGCTGGAAAGGCTTCTACGTCCTGTTTCAAGGCTATCTTTAATCTAGCCTTGACTAATGACTTGCTGAATGGCATGCTCAGTGTCTTAGCTCTGTAACAGACAAGGTGTCCGCATGCTGATCTAGGTACTAGGAATTTCTTGAGCCTCTTAGTGTTTCTCACAGTTGTCTCTTGTGATGCACCAAAGTACTTGCGTGCAGATACCTTCAGCTAAGCTATCTCGACTTTAATTGATGAAATGATTAACGGGGAATTCAGAGCTTTATTCTTTCTGCATACCATTAAAGACAGCATCTTAAAATAAAGGATTATTGGCAAAATCCAGCTTTGAAGTAGTGAAGCTGGTATTGAAATTTTCAGACGGAAACAGCAGCGGTCGGTGTGAGAGCAGCAGCGTGAAGTCCATGTTAGCTGTCTCTCTGGTGGAATTTTCAATAGCATTACAGTTCCTGAATAGACCTAAGTATAGAGAAGCCCTTTTTAGACTGCCACTCAGTTCCCTTCTTTCTTCAGCATTTGCCTTAAAATGATTTATTGTGAAGGAGATTTCATCAGTGTGACCAGAACTAGTAAGGGAAGACTAGAAACACTGTGATGAGAAAGAAATCTGTCTCCACTGGTTACTTCAAAAACAAAAAATAAACAAAAGAAGTGTTACAGTATTTTAGCGGATGCTTATGAAATTTTCTCTGGAAGGGATATTATGTCCCATAGGGCTTTAAAAAAAGAAAGTCGTAGTCATTGGATGATGCATTAGGCTGGATGCTCTTTCTTTCTGTCTTTCTTTGCTGTCTTTTTCAGTCCCATGAATGTGACCTGATTTTTAAGATGAAACTTACGTAGTATACGGAGTAACATTTTATTTACTCATTAAAAAAACTTTATTTAAGGTATGACTTTCCTAGTAAAAGATTAATTACCCCAGATGGACTGCATAATTTTTTATAATTTTATAATAAAGTTCTTATATAGAATAATCTTTTCAATTTAAATTAAGGATTAATTCAATTTTTATTGGGAAAATACTTTTAAGGCTCTTAGTGTAGCAAAGGGGACCAGATTGCTACTTCGTAATCTTCTTCACATCCACTAGTATTTTCTGAAATATTCTACATGGAGATGGTTACTTCGTCTGATTTTGAGACATCAAAATCAAAATTTTTTTGGCCTTGAACTCCTGCTTATTTAAACTTTAAGTGAGAATTCAAGAACTGTAATTTTTATCTTGTGGCCTTCTCACAGAAGGCATTTTAAATGTTCATATTATTTAGAAAAGTAATGATTAGTCTTAATCTTCATATGAGTGTCTTGTTAAGTTCTGCTATTCACATTTAAATACACATCAAAACAGTATTTGCATTTGTTTGCTTTATTTATTTCTATTTTTACTTCTGCATTACTTCTAAAATGTTTTGAGATAATGTGAAGTTTTCAGGGAGTTTGAAGGAAAAGTTGACCTCTGCAGGACTGCCACATTCAGAGGAGTTCATGTTGGCGTTATGCAAAATTTCAGTTAGGGTCTCTCCACCAAATACTTAATCCTGCAGGAAGCCACACTAGCGTATTGGTTTTACAAGTGAAATTACAAGCATTAAATCCCAGCAACATAGCTGATTGTTCTTTTTATTTTCCTCTTTCAGGAAGTTAGCCATGACACAAGAAGATTTCGATTTGCTCTCCCTTCCATAGATCACGTTCTGGGTCTCCCTGTAGGTACGTTCTGCCTTTGCTTACTGAGAAGCCAAGCATTGTTAATTATACTGTAAGAGATTTTGTGAGGATTTTTTTCCTACAGTTTGAACTGTTGAATTTTGAATACCATCCACATGGCTTGAGCTGGTGTTTAGATGCAAGATTTTGCTCATGCTGTGAGTCATCTGCAGGGTCTGAAATCTGGTGTACTTACAGAGAGTGTACATCTAGCTTGTTTCTGTGACGACAGTAGAAAAATAAACACTGGTCTAGTATTTTTCCAGTCTCAGCTTTCCAATGCATGTTATTCCCATGGTGCTTGATCTCTGTGGTCCCTTTCCATCCCCTGAGGCAGTGCTCTCAGTGCTTCTCCTCTCACACGTGCGGTTTACTAGATCATCTGCTCACTTCTGAATGCAGCCAGTCTCATGGAACTTCTTAATCACCATGGGGTAGATGTTTCCTTAGGCCTTGCCGTGTGGTGTGTTGCGTTCCATAATAGCTTGCTGCTATTGTTTCCTACCGCTTATATAAAGAGCGTTTAATTGTGACTCATGTTTAATAGGGACTTCTGCTCTAACGGCCTGTTGCAATGACCTGTGGATCAGGTGCTTTGTGGTAGTCCTCTGCACCTTTCCAGCACCAGTCCATCGTGCTTAAGTTCGCTCTCGTTTAGGATATGTTATTGTCTTGATCCTGTTAAGCAGCCGTGAGGCCAAAGCTAGTTTCCCTCTCTTGAGGAGTGAGCTGTCTCACCTCTAATTGTTCTTGTCTTGCACACCAACAGAAAGGAAGCCATCTGGGGTGAATTTGACCTGCTGGATGCCACAGTTTCCTCCAGTGGTTTAGTAAGGTCAGGGCAAATCAGCCGGTTGTTTCGGTGTAGCCCAAGAAGGGCCCTGCACTGTCCCAGGAGCGTCATAGTCATGCTCCCGATGGTGCCCTGCGGGCCAGTCTGTGGGTGGCTGAGGGAATGGTTTACTGGGTGAGACTTGGGAAGCAAGGCGAGCTGAAAGCTAGTGAGGGTGGTAAAAGCAGCTGGCAGCAGCAGGCTTGGCAGCCGTGGGACGGATACTGGCGTGCACTCTGCATTTTCAGTCCAGCACCAGCATTTCGCTTTTACCACCGGCTGGACACAGGAGAAAACTGCAGCTGGCTCTGAGGGAGAGCATGGCTGTGGATGGCCCCACACAGAGGCTGCCAGCTGCTGTCCCGTCGGGGCAGGGCAGAGCTCCGACCAGTGAGAGCGTAAGGTGTGTTTTCCCGTTGGGAGAAGCACCTTGTTTGGATTTGTACCAATTCTAGTGAGACGTGCCCCAGCGGTGGTCCCGTCCGTCTGGTTTCACAGTCTGCAGTGGCCACCGGGGGTCTGTTCTGGAGGAGGGGGCGGCGAGGCCACCCCTCGCCGGGGGGAGGAGCGGGAGGCTGCCACTGCAGCAACCCGCGGGTCTTCCCAAGCAGGAAACATGCGTGCCACCAGACGGGTGTGGGCTGTGCTGGGAGGGTTAGTCGAGTCACCCTTACGTACCTCTGTGTACAGCTTCAGGTGAGTTACAGTTGCTCATTCCCCAGGTCACCAGGCAGCGCATCTTCATTTGCTCACTGGTTTGCCTCGCTGGCCCTGCGGCTTGCAGACGAGCTCCCAGTAAAGTCCCCTCTGTGTTCCTGTCACGGGCAGAGGAGCTGTACTGTCTTTGGAGAGCTGCATTCGTCTTAAGAGTTCTGTTGACCTTGTGGTGGTAAAATAACAAAAACCAAATCCACCCATAGGTATTCTTCACTTGGGTCTCTTCAGGGTGTTGGAATTTTATAGGAAAACCTTTCAAAGGACTTCATTCTAGTTTTTTTCACTAAAAACATAGACACTGAGAAAAGAAACTATTGTAGAGTGTTTGGTGAATGAGTGACATTGGAACGTGATTGCTACGTTCAGATGTTAAGCTAGAGGTGTAGCAGGGTTAGAGAAGTGCTTTGTGTCTCGGCAGCCGTCGGAATGGCAGCTAGGAGACCTGCTGGTAGGCATGAGCGATCTCTGGTCAAGGTAAGAACAGTTACAAACTCAGTTGTAACTAAACTGCAGTGGTTTATAACTGACATGTTAATAGAGAAGTGTGAACAGCACTTGACAGTTTTTCCCTCCTGTGTACTTTTTACTTGTCTGTTTGGGAGGGTCATATCACATCTTTTGCGAGACCTCATATACAGTTAGGGCTTTGGTAAATGTAAATGCATGAAGCTATCAGAACAGATATGATTGGCACATCAGTTAGCAGCAGACTTGTCTGCCCTTCCAGGTAGAATCTGTGCGTGGTTAACTACTCTGGCAAGGTGTTACAGCGTCAGGAAAATGAGAGAGGAAAAAGTGGTGCCCCAAAACAAGGTGGTTAGGAGAACTTTGAGACTGCATTTACAGTACATACCAACTCAGTGCATCCACTGAAAGAAAAATATTTTGAAACCGAACTGCTTTTTTTCTTCCCTGAGTATAGGACAGCATATCTACCTGTCTGCACGGATTGATGGAGCGCTGGTTGTTAGACCTTACACTCCAGTTTCCAGTGATGATGACAAGGGCTTTGTGGATCTTGTTGTCAAGGTGAGAATCTCCCACTCTTTTACCAGGCTGGGCAACTTCTGAGCCCACCTTTACGCTTGCAGTGCTGTGTGAAGTCTGATGTGCCGGCTTCTGTTTGGGTATGTGCCACTGCGGACTTCCACTGTTCTGACAAGTGATCTGCAATTACCTACCATCCATATGGCATTCTGCAAGCACTTCTGTAGTGAGTCTGCCTCATGAGATGCCGCATGATACAGTATTTGCATACTGTAATTTTCCAAAATCTGTGTAGACCTGCAGATGTTCACACACTTTTTTAATCCTTCTGAAATAAGGAGTTAACCTTGCCTGAACTGTCAGCTTCTTCTGAAGCTAATGTAATATGGTCATTACAGTCATTAAGAGTGGCGATCATTATCATTACTGATCCAGACAGTGTGAACGACTGATTTAATTAGCAAGAATGTGATTTTGAGTCTTGCCATAATGTACTTTTGTCTCTTAGTATCTAGACTAAGCAACTATATTTAAAGCTGACAGGAATTTAAAACCTGAATATCTGCACTGGATTTCCACTTAAAATTTTACTCCTAGTTTTTTTTCTTTTTCACAACCAACAGTGCTTTATTCATTTATTGTGAAAGTAGCCGTGAATTTGCCTTTTACTTCCAGCTTATCTTCATGAGCATGGTGTGGCACACTGAAGACATGACAAGAGAAAAACGTAAATCTTTGACTCAGATTGAAACATTTCACAAGACTCCTTCTTCCCAGTGTGGCTCTCCATGCACGCAAATGATGCTGTTCATGTAAAAGTGTAGCTAGTCTCAGCTTGAACTGTTTCACACTCATGTGATTTTAAAACAAAAAACCCAACGCAGTTCCAGCATTGTGACTACAACTGCTGATACCTCTTGGTGAGCAGTTGAATATTCTATTAGTTGGTATCCACGTTTTTGTTACTCTGACTTTGAGGTGAAAACAGCTGCCATCCCAAGAAAGAAGGTTTGGGTGTATATCCCTTTGCAACTGAGCTGTCAGAGATCTTTCTCAGAATTTTTTCTGTTTGAAATCACAGTGGCCTTTTTTTCTTTTTTTTTTTGTTCTTTCCTTTTGAACTTGGGTGTCAATTGTGTTGATTATATAGAGGTATCTTCCATGTTACAGAAACACAATGGAGAAATTGTGTCCAACCTGGTCAAAATTGGGGCAAGAGTGGCATTTTAATCTTTTTGTGAAAAACTCAGTGCTTCTCTTCTATTGTCAGTCAAATCTGCATTGATAGTATTTCTTTATGTAGTAATTGTGTTCTTCGCATGAGGAGTATGGGCGTCTAAATATTTGATGGGCAAATGCTCATCTTTGAGCTGTGAGATTAATTGCTTCGTTGTATTTTTAACAGATCTACTTCAGAAGTGTCCATCCGAAGTTTCCTGATGGAGGGAAGATGTCACAATACTTAGACAGCCTGAAGATAGGAGATACTATTGACTTCAGGGGACCAAGTGGCCTGCTTGTCTACAAAGGAAAAGGCAAGGCTGGCTGGGAAGATATAATTTCTCCAGAGTAAACAATGCAGAAGAAACATCATGAAATAGTAGTGACACTGATAACATCTTTTTCCAGCTGAGTTCAAGTCTTTCTCTGCAACAAAGAAATTGCTAATGTCTTAATTAAGTCAACGGCCATCCTGACAGGGGTTGTTATATGATTGTAGAAGTGCTTGTTATTGATACTATTCTCAAAGAAGGGAATTCTCTCTCTGCTTATATGGACAATTTGTATACTGGTAAAAACACTTGGTATTTGTGCTGTCTAATGCTAATTTCCTAAGTAAAAATGAACTTTGTCAGTACGAAGTACTGTTATGCCAATATAAAATATCTCACTTTGGCATAGTGCAGCCACAAATGTGTCACAAAAACCTTCTGGCAGTTTTGTGAGCTGCAGAGCTCAGACATGTGATTTTCCAGAGCTTTCTGTCTTACGTTCGTATTATCCTGGATGAAGAGAGGTGTGAATACAACAAATACAACATATTGGGCAACTTCAAACTCTCTGTCAGATTTTGCTGGAACTTGAAAAAAGAGCTCAAAAAGAGGAGATAAATATAGAAAAATATACATCCTGCGGATTTCATGTTTTCCCTTAAAACAATCTGCATGGGGTAAATAAACACTCTGAGCGGATTAATTCCTTTGTGTAGAATTGTTTCAAGAATCTGGGCTTCTGAATATCACTGGGGGTATGGGACATGAGCAAATAGAAATACAGGTAGTGATGGCTTGATGCTAAATATTCAGGAGTGAGTAATAACCATGTCAGTGTCTGATGTTACCATCACATGTCTTAAAATCTCTAATCATCTTTCAGGATTTGTTTTAATTGGTGACATCCTCACCTTTTTCTGTTTCCTGCTCCTGCTTTATCGGGGGGCCAGGGTGACAGGGTTGAAACAAAGTCAGTTAGGTGAATGTGCTGCGAAGGCTTCGTAGGCCCTGTTTCCTGCTTGCTTCAGTGTTTTCCATCTCTCTCTCTCTTCAGGCGAGTTTGCTATTCGGCCTGAAAAGAAAGCTGAACCAGTTACTAAGAAGGTGAAATACGTGGGGATGATTGCAGGTGGGACTGGTACGTATCTGTGAAGATTCACCCTTGGTGTCTGACAGCTGGTAGATGCGTTTGTTCGTATTTTCTCTCACATGCTCACTTGCACTTACTTTCTTCCTTCACGTTGACCTGCCTTTCTCTTTCAGGGATAACGCCTATACTGCAGATCATTCGAGCAATCATAAAAGACAAAGATGACCCTACAGTTTGTCAGCTGCTGTTTGCTAATCAGGTAATGCTGTCCTTTTTTCTGTTTATAAAGTTTTACTAAACTAACAGAACTCCACTCAGCAAATGGAATTCTTGCTGAGAAGGCCTCATGCAGAAATACAAACCCCAAGGGGACAAGTGACCGGAAATGTTGAAAACTTCCCATAGAAAAGCACTAAAATGACTTGATTTTTTAGTGTAACTACAAAAATGCCGCTTTCCTCCCAGCTAATGCTCACTCTCCTGTGTCTCATTGCTCTGTTTCTAATCTAGTTTATAAATATTTTAGAACTCTGCATTCCTTTGTGCAAATTGTTAATGTTTTGGGCAGAGGTGGAGAGCTGTCTGTGTTAGTGTAAACATGAGAGGTGGACATCTGCCTGCTTCAGCAATTGCAATTCCCCAGCTTCGCAGCAGGGTTTGTACGTGGAATCATTCTGTTTGAGAACACCTTCGGTGAGGCTAAAATTAACAGTAGTCTCCAGCATCTCCCTCAGCTACGGAGCTGTGATCCTGCATGGCTGTCTCCTTTCATTTCCATTCCCTCTGTCAGCTCTTCATGTGTTTCTGTTGCTCTTTGAGGCTGGACAAAGGGAAGATCTCTCATCTATGGAATCCTTGTGATAGAGATTTCTTGGATGACCGGGCAACATAAATGGTGGTGTGCTGCTGAACTGCGATGCCCCTTCTTTGCCTGATGTCCTTCTGGTGTTAATCCTTTTGCTTTTAAATTTCTCTGTCATAATGAATATTTGTTTCTGGTTTATGAGCCATTATTTGTGGTTGTCCTGTTTCTTCTGGGATAGAGTTAATTTTCTTCCCAGTAGCTGCTGTGTTTTGGATTTAGTACAAGGAGAACGTTGATAACACTGATGTTTTCAGTTGTTGCTATGACATCAAGGACTTTTCTCCAGTTTCTCATATTCAGCTAATGAGCAGGCGTGCAAGAGCTGGGAGGCAGCACAGCCAGGCAGATAGCCAAGCTGGCCAGTGGAAATACTGCATACCATGGACATCATGCTCAGTTTAGGAATGGGGGTTGGCCGGGGGGCAGGAAGCTATGAGCTCTTCTTGTTTTCCAGGAGTTTGGTGTTTTGCAGTCACCTCTTGGGGACTGGCAGTCAGGTGGTGAGAAGGTTGTACTGTGTATAGTTTATTTTGCATACTCATTATTATCATTGTTATTATCATTACTATTGTTAGTATTAGTATTTCCTTTGTCATATTAAACTGTCTCTATCTTAACCCACAAGTTTTCCATTTTGTCCGTTTCTCTTCCCCATTCTGCTGGCGGGGGAAGGGTGAGCAAGCGGCTGTCTAGTGCTTAGTTGCTGGCTGCTGGGTTACACTACAACAGTGATGAACCTCACTTCATGCCTGTGGTTTTTAGCTTCTTCAGGCTCTCCTCTGTCATTCCTCTCTCCTCTGATATGCAGAGTGTCCTCATTTCCTTTATACCGTATCGGAACTATAAACCCAAATTTTTCCACCCAGAAGCTGTGATCAAGGTGCCAACAGATGCCCTGTTGTGATACTTCGTTGTGGCAGGACCTCCCCACGAGCCCTGCCCGTGCCCTCTCGCTGCTCTCTGCTGAGCACATGGAGTTGGCATAAAGTGCAGTCGATGCCAGGGCAGGAGGGTCAGGATTTGCTATGAGTAATTCAGAATGACTGATAACAGGGCTAGAGCTGCTTTAGCAACCGAGAAAACCGACCGCTTCCTGCTGGGAGGACTTGGGGAGCGGTTGCCTGCATATGAGCAACAGCCTGTGTAAACATCAGTCCTTGGATTTATAGGGTCCTTGTACCCAGTGACTGCACAAATACAAAGTAGCCTCCTGACAAATGGTCAGTCAGGAAAGCCTGCAGGCTAGATGTTTTGTAACATTTAAAATAGTTTTTGATGTGTGTTTTGCTGATCTTTCATTTTGGTCCTCCTGAAAGAGCTGTGTTGGGTTACAGATGACAATGTGCGTGAGCTCGTTCTGGCTAGCATGCTTCGAGTTGGTCAGACCCAGTAATAGCCTTTCTGGAACACACGCAGCTGCAGATCCAGAAATAGGCATCTTCTCCAGCAATAGTTGCTGGCACATTCCTCCTTACCCCCACAGTTACAGACATGGTGGTGTCCTCAGTGCCAAATTATTAAGGCTGCAGAGGATGGTACCACTTTTAGTCTCTGCCCTTTTCCTGCCTTCCCAAACTGCAGCTGCTCCTACGGGAATAAGGCTTTCTTTTGGCCTTCAGTGATGTTGCATCAGAGAGGAGCAGAACTTGATACCCTGGGTAACGTTTGTTGTTCCAGTCAGAACTCGATACCCTTTTGGTTATTTGCGCCACATCCTGTTTAAAAACCAAGCAATCTCCGTACAGCAGTGCTGATGACATTTGAAGTGGCAAAGGTGAAAAACCTGGCATTTTCCTGACTGAATGGCACAGTATGGAGGGGTAGGGAGATACTTGTGTGTGGTCGTGGTTAGTTTTTGGGTGAAAGTTACTTTTGTAATGGGAGTGCTAAAAGAGGGCTTTCTTCTTCTGATGCTACCACTAATTCCCTCAGCAAGTGAACAAGTGAACAAGTTCTGTGTTTTGATACAGATTCTGCTTCGTTTTATTTTTTAGATGGAAGGCATTGTGTGGTCAGGATTTGGAAAAGTCATGAATCTTTTTTTAGCTCTGCCACGTGACAGTCATGGAAATAACTTGTGTTTGCTCTCTTGAGCCTATAAAACGGAGTTGAATAATCTGTTCCATCTCACAGGGTTGTAGAGTAGCTAATGCTCTGTGGTTGGCTGAGGGCTGCACTCAAATGCAAATCATTGTTTTCCACATCCTGCAGACGGAGAAGGATATCCTGTTGCGTTCCGAGCTAGAGGAGATCCAGGTTCAGCATCCTGGTCGCTTGAAGTGTTGGTACACACTGGACAGAGCACCTGAAAGTAAGATCTAACATGCTACTTCCACTGAAGCTTGAGTCAGCGTATTAATGCGTGTGTGTGACAGGAGACATGCTATCTTGCTTAATGAATCATGTCTGAATGTGCCCAGTAGCATTGTTCTTCATACTGTGATGCACAGAAACTCTCAGATATAATCAGGCAGCATTTCCAATGCTACAAAGTAGGTAGTGCAGTGTTCCTCCCATGACTACACCCGAATATTGACCGTTAATTACTGTGGAAGGTAACCTTCCTCCCTCCTTCCCCACAGGCATCAATGTAACGTGTTAGCTTACTGTCTCGCGTGCATGAAGGCAGCTGTGGTGGGAGCGTCAGAGGCACTGCATCTCACAGAGTGCAGACACCTACCTAGCTGTTACTGTATGGCAGCTCGTGGTAGCTGATCTTCCTAGGCAATGGAATTGCCTTTGTATTAGCAGTGTTTCTCAGTGAAAACACTGTTCCATCTTGGTGCAGTTCAGTTTTAAAGATAATGTGGTGTAGTTGGCTGGTCTAGGTGAGAGGATGAGCTCGCTGAATGTACCTTCCTCAGCTGTGCAAGTTTGAGGAAGAAAAGGCTAAATAGTTACTGCCATTGCAAAAAGGCTCCATAGTTTCTGTGTCATTCCTTGTCATTTTCCATTCTTACCATTCCTCGTCGTGCCCACCCACATCAGGATAGATTCACACTCCTACTCAGTGCCAGTTTGGGGCAGAGAAGGAAAAGCTTCTCTTACCCTGTGACTAAGAACACACCTCCTGTAGCGTGGTGGGCACGGTCTTGCTGTCCCCATAGTCTGTTGCTGTCATCTTCTGCAATTAGTGTTCTCCTGGAATTTCTGATCACTCTTCTTTTTCTTTGATATTTGTGAACTGTGAACTGATCCCAGCAGTTGCAATAAAAGTTTCTCCTTAGAGCCCCTCACACTGTTCTGCAGACTTTCACTACTGTACATGAAACTGAACCAAAACTGGAATTTTTTGGATAATCTGTGGGAGAAAAATGTGTCGGTCTTACTGTGCCCAAAGGTTTGGGTCAGCATCTTTTTTTGCATCCAGGGCTGGGGCTGCGATGGGTAAGCCTGAATCCTAGTATTCACTGATGAGCAACCATGAGTGTTCCAACTAGGAACAACTGCATCAGCTAGGTTTTCCCTAGTGAGCTTGCAAAGAGTGGGTTACGGGGGATGATGTTGTCATTTCACAGTGCTGCAGCTGAGAAGAGTCACGTTCTGTTCATGGCTCTGCCTGAGATTTCCTTGGGGCTTTTAGCAAGCTTTGTGAGAAGTTAGCCCTTGTTTTCTCCATACACCAGTTTTGCGTCCTAAAAGGAGAGGCGGCAGTTTTTCCATGTAGCTGTGTTGAGGACACTAATGCGAGTGGAGTGTACAAATGTTTAGAATGTTACTAAAAAAACCCCAGCACCCCCCCCCCAAAGTTACTTGTATCTATATTTTCCTCCTTTTTCCCCTTCCCGTACTTTGATTTTTGTAACAGCTTGGGATTACAGCGAAGGATTTGTGAACCAAGAGATGATCAGAGACCACCTGCCCCCACCTCAAAACGACGTTCTGATCCTCATGTGTGGACCTCCTCCAATGATCCAGTATGCTTGCATTCCCAACCTGGACAAACTGGGCTACACCAAGGACATGAGGTTCTCCTTCTAAAGAAGACTGATAATTCAGTGATCTTGTGTAGAAGGGAAGAAAAAAACGTTTAATGGGGAACAGGACAGAGTTACAGGGATGGCTGATGCACAGTGCTGGGAAGCTACATTCACGTTTAAAATGCTTCATTTTTTCTGAGTCTCTGGCAAGTGAGACCCTGAAGCTCAACTGTACTGTGTGTTGCACAGAAACGGCTGTATTGTGGAAAGGTAGTGATGCCTAGTGCTCAAAGGAGGACAGTACAGCTGCTTAAGGCAGTAAACACTCATTTACACTTCTTAGCACTGTAATCAAATGGCAGTAATATCCTACTTCCTAACACTGTGCATACCCAGTATTTTATTTGGTAGGAAGTATGAAAATGTATAGAGAGTGCTGGATTATTCACCTTGCTTATGCCAAATTTTAATCCTTCCAGAGCTTTTACAGTATGAGGGCCAGGAGTGTTTGCCTTGTGTGCATAATCTTTGCAACCTTAGCAGCTTACAGATGCCTGTTCAGCTGAAGAATGACAGTTAACCATTTATGACTGAAGTTGTTCAAGCTGCTGTGTTAATCAAAGCGGAGAGGTAGACAGCAATACAAAATGTGTTTCCTTTGTATTTTGGCATAGCCTCTCTTAAATGTAGACACTTTTCCAGCTAGTCACAGTTATCATCCCTGGGCAATGAAAGAAACTACAGAAAGCAGGCAGCTCTGTGTGCTGTTCCACAGATAGCTAGAATTTTTTGCTTGTATGTGTGTGGAATACTGAAAAAAATACTGACTTTAGTATTGGCTTTTAAATAGCAGATGGTGCCATAGGAGTACAAATGCCTTGTTTTGCATGGCCTGTGTAGTGAAAAAAAAGGCTGGGTGAAAACTGGATCTTAGTTTTCATTTCTTATTTCCCTGAGGTGGATTTGGAACAGAGGGAGCTCAGGTTTCGTTGCCAGGGTGGGCTGCGGCAGGTAGCCCAGCTTCGGGTGCAGGACGCGTGGAGTCGGGATGCGCCTGCGTGTCCTGTGCAGGCAAAGCTCCAGAGGGTTTTGTTTGGTCAGGATGCGTGGGAACAACCTTAAGTCACCAAGCTGACAGCAAATTCAAATGTCTCGCTGAATCTAAACACTGTTCCTTAGATGCTGTTCACTACAGCTCTGATTTTATTTCTTTTAATACACTTTTTTTACAGCAGCCTTTTACCTAGCCTTTAGTAAATGTAAGGCATCTTCCATGCTGAGCCTAATGTTTCTGAACAGCAGGGATGCTGCTGAGATGAGGGCTGTCCTGCAAGGAATCTGTGAAACTAAAAATCTTGTTCTGGTGATGAAACCGGAGTGACCGAAAGGAAATTTAGTCATATATGAAGTACTGTGGATCCCAGTTAGCTGCCAGTGTCAGTGTATAATACCACTTGATTTGGGTAGGTATTTGAGGTTATAGCTTGCTATGTTTTCTTTTGTGCCTATGCAACAGATGGGTACTGTGCACTTCAAAGGTTAATTTTCAGCATGAATTAAAAGGAGAAAAAGATACTACAGTTAATTTGAGGAACCTCAAACAGATAATGCTGTTATTAATTTCATTAATTAGACACTTGCCTCTGAAGTCTTGAATTTTGATATGTGCTTCTGGAACTTGTTCTTTAATTCTGTGCTCCAAAGTTCAAATAACACTCAAGTAAGTTTCAGTCCCTGTTTTTCAGAGGCAAAAGGCAGAAATATGGCAGAAGTTAACTTGCTGCTGGTTTATAGTACTGTGGGAAATGTATTGATTTTTTTCATTATTTAATGAAGTTTTCTTGTTTAAAAAAAAACAAACTAGCTGTTTACGCATCAAATGTTTTGTATTACTTACTTTGCTTATTCAATTACTGGCTTTTTTCACATCTGTGTAAGTAATAAAGTATCTTGCAGGTGAATCACCTGTGTCTTGCTGAGCACGTTGTCTTCAACCTTGTAAGAGACACACTATAATTTTGAAACACTCTGTAAAGTGAAAGTTCAAAAAACCCAGAAAGCCTGTTCGATTGGTTTTACCCAAGTGCTTGTCTCTCTGAGTTTGGTGAGAACTGCTGTATTTGGATGCTGAATCAAGGAGTAAACTGTCTCGTGTTCTCCCCATCAGTCCAATTTCCTCTTTTAACCTTTATTTTGTACATCATCCTTGTGAACATGAGGCTTTTAATAAATAAAAAGAGGGGGTTTATATAATCTACTGAAACAGAACTGTGTCACAGTCCCTTTTGCTTGATGGTCCTGTCCTACAGCATTTAAACAAGGCAGTGTTAGAAGTTGGGTTTACTTTTTTTTTTTTTTTTCCCCCTTCCTTCTCTTTGAGCCAATTCATCTGTCTCACAGAAAACATGACTCTTCCGCCAGTTTTTCTGACAGGATGTTCTGAGTACTGTTAGCCTGCGTGTTACAAAGCAGCTGGGGAAACATGAACCTCCTGCGTGAAAGGCATTTTGTGGAAAATTTCCTGGTAGAAATGGGATCGAAATAGCTGCTGCTGCATTGGCTTTACCAGAGGTGGGTCCCCGTTATTCCCACTGTGCAGAAGCCAATATCCCCCTGCTTCCCGGGTGGGCAGGGGTCTTTCTCTGGGTACCGCTCCTGTTGCAGCAGATCCGAGAGGAAGGAGGTAAGAAATGAGCTGGGCCTTGCGCCTGTGCTTCTCGTGGTGGCACCGTGGCCCCAGCTGCGCATCTGCTGATGCGTGCCGGTGCTAGCCCTGTCACCGCCGCGGGCAGCTCGGGGTTCTGCGAGGCGTGTGGCGAAGCGACCGCTTCGCCTGAGCAAGTCCTTGGCTGTCCTGGCTTCCCAGCTGCCGGTGTGACCGGCGTGGGGGGGTTTGCTCTGCTCTGATCTTTCGAAGCATGGCACGACAGGTAAGGAAATACACGTTGCCTCAGGGGTTTAATAGTGTCTTCTGGAAGCTTTTGGTAAAAAGAATTTGGTTCACAGAAAGGAGCCTTGTAGTGTTCCTGAGCTTTTCTCCTCTTGATCCTGCCCAAGTGAACAGGAAGAAGAGGAGGGTGCAGCAGCCCGGCTCTCAATGGCGTTTGCAGCTCCTCACACGTATGGGTCAGGTGCGAGTCGGGGAGCAGCAAAACGGGAGTGGGGCAGCGGGGGGATGCGACTTTTTCCCTGCTTGAACAGCATGAGGGGGTAGAGGTGGCATTTGCTTAGTGCTTCTGGGTATGGTGCCCTGCGTGCCACCCTGCCCACCGTTTGAATGAACGGAACAGGACCCTGCTATAACCAGGTCTGCCACCGTCGGCGTGCAGCACTCCCAAGGCAGCACTCGCCAGACCTCTGCATCAGGCACTTCTCCACTGTCTGGCCTGAGCCTGGCTCCCAGCCGCCGGCGTCAGGAGCATATGCAGGCAGGGAGCCGCAAGCAAGTGGCTTCTAACCAAAGCATCTCTGTTCACCTGTGGTCGTTGCTACCAAGCAGTGTCCTGTGCTGAGCTACCCACAGAAACGAGCGCTTGCAGCAGCGGAAGGGTGATGTCTGCACAGCAGGGAGTGGGAGACTTCATCCTCCCCAGGTGTGGGAGAGGGAAGAGAAAGTAGAGGTGTGCCGGTGATGGACCACCCCGGGAGGACAGAGGGAGAGCAGTCGCTGTGTGGCTGAGGGACAGGACAGCTGCTACTGCAGGCCTCTGCCAGGCAGGGTCCGTGCTGCGCACAGCGTGGGGTGAGCAGGCCACGCTGCTGCTCTTGTACCAGGAGGGGTGGGGGGCTATGCCAGAGCCCTCCTGGAGTAACGAAGCACTGGCAGCAAGGGCCTAGGTCCTCTCTGCTGGAGTCAGGAACTCCTGGTGGACCCAAGTAGGGTGGGTGTCTGTATTCTGTGACACGCTGAGCATGCTTTTTTTAAGAAACTTCAATTTGAAAGGGTGGGGCAAGGTGTTCTGTTGTTTTTTCATGATAGGAAGATGTACCTGGCGAAGCTAACCAGCCAGCAGCAGCAGTGCTGCAAGTTCCCTCCTCTGCCAGAAGACTTTCGTTGCTGAGCTATGCTTCGTGAGCTCCTCGGATCCATTACAGTACAAACAATACGAACTACACATTAACAAATGATGGCCAAAGGGAAAAAAAAATCACAAACCAACCCCTTCACTTAGCTTTTACTAACCTAGTAACGCAAATTACCTTGGGATTGAACTGCCTGAGATCAGCACCTTACCTGGTAACTCATTATGTGCAGTCACAGAAGCCTGTGGTACGGCTGTGAGTCACCTGAGCTGAGACTCCAGCTTGGGTGAATAAATAAACACAGTCAAATTTACATTGCTAAATATTTTGTTGTGCATCTTGCCCATTATGAGCCTTAGCATAGAGCCTTGGCCAGTTCAACCACCATCACTGAGGCCCTGGGCGCCTGAGGTAACACCCTCAAGGCAGCCAAGCGATGAGTGTGGCGCAGTCAGGACAATGCACCCTGGCTCCTAGAATGAAGGCCAAGCCCATGTGACTTCTCTGAGGGACCAGAGCCTCTTCGGAGGGCACGGAGCAAATGGCCAACTGCCCCCATGTGTAACTTCCATAGGTCAAACTATATAGTCAAGACATTTTGATTTTTCCCTTCCCTTGCCAACACTGAAAAAGCATGAGAAACATCCAAAGAGAAAAGCCCAAGCAGTTTTTTGAGACAGCGTTCCTAGAGAACTGAATCACAAAATGTTCGAGGTTGGAAGGAACCTCTGTGGGTCACCCAGTCCAACCCCCTTGCTGAAGCAGGGTCACCTACAGCAGGCTGCACAGGACCTTGTCCAGGCGGGTCTTGCATATCTCCAGAGAAGGAGACTCCACAACCCCCCTGGGCAGCCTGTTCCAGTGCTCCGTCACCCTCAGAGGGAAGAA